GGATTTTTAACTACAAAATTTAATAAAGGTGATTGCTATTTAGGGGTGATATTGCTCGAGACATTTTCCAGTCATCAAGTGATAATTTAGGGAGGACCTCTTCAAAAAATAACTGGTCTTTTCAACTACTGCTTAGAAAACATCAGTAAGGAAGAGGAGAGCTATTCAGGAACATATACAAAGTGGCAAGACCCAAGACTGTGGAAATGGTGGCCATTGGACTGAGGGTGGGACATCCGGCTTTGTGAGTTTCCAAAGAAAGGGGACCCAAAACCATCATATATTTCATGATAAATTTAAATAGAGATTATTATAAACTTGATTGTGGTGGATCAAATCATGGAGTACTGTGATACTTGATCAGTTGATCTCCTTCATGACCCAACCTGAATTTGCTCTAGGCTGAAGTATTTCTCACCCATTCCAGGAAAGAAATTTCTTCTCTGACCTTTTAAATACTGTTGGTGGTCTTTCCTTTATTATGCCTCATCTGTATTTTTATCTATGTTGTATTATTATTTTCTTCTTGCCATTTGTTTCCTTCGTGTCTCTTATTGTTTCTGTTAGGTTTCTTACTTTGTGAAGGACAGAAGGAGTGGATGCATAGAGACAATAACTGATGCAGGGATGTGAATCGGGGATGAGGAGCAGGGAGGGTGAGAAGATTTGAGGAGAAAATAATGAATGCAGGGGGGGAGCAAGCACTAAAACTGACTGTGATAATGTGTATACAACTCACTTTAAAAAGTGATTTAACCATGGAAATGTGTGATATGTGAATATTATATCAATAAAAATACTAAAAAAAAAAAGAAAAAAGAAATCAAACTTGACCAGTGGTTACCATGGATGAAAGAGTTAGAAATAGTTACTGCTTAGGGGGACTGTGAGTTTAATGGTGGTGGAAGAATTCAGAAAATGATATATCAATGATGGTCATACAACATGAAGAGCTAATCAGTGGCACTGAATTATACATGTAGAAGTTGTGGAATCGGAGAATGTTCTTTTGTGTATATTTTTGCCACAATTAGAAAAAAATAATTACATGAGCAACAATGAGTACAAGGAGAAGAATATGTTCTAGAATTGAATGTGGTGACAACTGCACCACTCTTCTTAATGTGATGGACTTATTGAATTGTATGTCATGTGGATGAAGTGCTAATAAAACTGTTTTAAAAAAAAGAGGTGTTAACAAACCCAGGGACAAGGGAACAACAAGCGACCCAAATTGGTGGGGAGGTGGGTGTGGGAGACCTGGTAGGGCAT